CTAGAATCTGCTCTGGGAGAGGCCATAAGACCTGGAGAATTGCCTGCTGTATGCATTGTCTGACCAGTCAGGATAGCTGGACTAGCTCCCCAAAACCTGAGACACTATGTTTGTATTGGAGGTTCCATATTCTTATTAGGTCAGCCGAAGAGTGAAGAATTTTGCCCATTTTATAGATAGAAAAACTAAGGCACAGATGGCAATTCACAGCCCAAGTCTCACTGCCAATGGAGCAGAACCCAGTTAGAGCCACAGCTTTCTGGCCAAGCCAGTGCTATTTCAGTGGCCCTGTTCTGATGAGCCCTAGTCTGCTGTGGTTCCTTCTGAACCCCTAAGAGGGGGACCCGTCAGTCTGGGCTGGCCCCTGCAGGAAGGAAGTAGGTGCTGATGAGGAACAGGCTTTACCTGATTGATGCCAAGGTTTGATGGCGGCCAAGATGATCTTGCTAACACAATAGCACAAGGCCTGATAAAATCACTTTGCCGTCTAGGCATTTTAATGTGATATTTTAATTTTATTTCCCTGTACTCAGGCATATCAAGTTTTTTTAGGCTCTAGCTACTTCTGTGGAATGGGTTCTGGGGCCTCAACCCAGAGTCTCATGTCAGGCCTGCAGGGCGGTTGTGAGGACCTGAGGGGGAGGAGTAAATACACCCTTTGGCTTCAAACAGACCTGGGTTCAAGCATGGGCTCTGGCACTTGATGGCTCTGTGACCTGGGGGAAGCCACTTAACCTCTGACACCTGTTTCCTTAACTGTAATATGGGCAGGGGAGTAAGGGCTGGCACACAGAGCAGCTGTGAGGATGGAAGGTGGCCAGGGATGGCAGAGGTCACAGGGGCAGCTCTGGGCTGGTCTGAAGCCTCTTTGCCGTTGACCCTCTGAGTGCCCCAGGGAATTCACTGTCCTTCTGGCTCTTTGGGTTGGGTCCGATAAACCATTCCAGAATTTCCTCCCTTCCCTTTTGAAGATGAGGTTTCTGGAGAGACAAGTCTCAGTGGGGCGTGCTGCAGCTGGCATCATGCCTGAATTCCTGTCAAGGCTCATGGCCCTGCCAGGTGTGTCTTGGGTTACCTCTTCACATGTCTGGTTCTCAGAAACAGGGGTGCTGTGAGCTATGTGGGGTGTCCTACAGCTTTATGTTGTTAGGATCCTATCCCTGGGTGTCAGTCATATACCCAGGGAAACTTTTCTTCAGAGTTTGAGGGAAGCTATACTCCTTCACTCACCTCCAAAGGCTTATCACGTGGCTTGGGATCCTCCATGAGTTGTGTTCCCAGCTCTGTCCAGGCCCACAGATCCACCCCAATGTGAGCTTTCCCAAGTACGGCTGGCTCCACTCTAAGGGGGCAGGGCTATGGGGGTGCCACCTATTCCTCATGGAGAGCTGAGATTCCCCCACACCACCAGCGCTCAGCCACATGCCAGATAAACATATCATCTCAGAAAACTTTTTTTTGGGGGGTAAGAATGAGGGTTCGGATAAGGCCTTCAGCTCCCCTTCAAACATGACTGCCACTGTTCCCTCTGTTCTCCACACACATTCAGCAGCTTCCAAAGAAGCCAAACCTTGGATCATGCCCTAGAGCCTCGGCCCTGCCAGGCCTAACCTGCAGCCCTGTGTCTCACTGGCACCGGCTGCTATAAAAGCATCTTGGTTCTGATGTCACACGGACCCACGCAAGGGCTGTCAGGAATATCCCAAGGATCATCTATCCTTTACTCCCTTTGAACACATTAGAAGCCAAGGCCAGAAATAGGAAGTGACTTGCCCAAGGTCACACAACTAGTAGGTGCCAGCGCCAGGCTTTAAACCTGGTTGTTCTGACTCTGAGTGCTCTTTTTTTACTTCAGCAGGCTGGCCAGGAGGGTCTTCCCTGCCTGCCACCACCTGCCCCCCTAGGCTTCTGAGATGCCACTCTGCAAACCTGAGAGGAATGAGAAGGCCTGGGGCCACTCCTGGGTGCCTTGCCTGGGGGCACTGTGCCTGGCTCCCTGCTTGGAAGTGGCTCTGAGGGGCTGAGTGAGAAGCAGGAGGCCGTTAGGACCCAGAAGCTATCGGAGCATCTTGCTCTGCCTGCTGCCTCTCACAGCTCACTGCAGTGGTTCAGGCTTCAGCAGCCTTGGAGAAGCATCAGCTGAGAGGAGCTATCACATGGGAGCCGGGAGCTGCTCAGCAAAGGTAGGAGTTGCCGACTAGGCCAGGAACGGGGGCCAGATCCAGGGCCTGGTGGTGAGTGCTGAGGCAGCCTGCACAAGGGGGGGCTCTCCATCCCAAGCACCAGCCCACCCTACCTTAGGGTGGGCAGTTTTGTCCAGGAATGGGCTTCCAGGTATCCCGAAGCAGTGCTGGGGTGTGGGCATCTCTGAAGCCTAGAGATGGGGGTTGATCTCCTGCCTGCTGAAGACACTACAGGCACACAGGGTTCCCCATCTATTCTGGCCCATGTCATACAGATGAGTCCCCCGCAAACTGGGAATGGGTCTCTTGGCGTCCAGGCCAATGGGCAACTCTGTGTCCTGGGCGGGGGGCAACTTTGCTATTGTAGCCCCCTGGAAGTCATCTCTGGCTTGGGGGGGGGGGCAGTATGTTCTTGTCTGAAGGCAGGCCAGGCTTGGCTCCTGGGGATGGAAGCTCTGTATCTGGGAAACAGGTGCATGTGAATCCCCACGATACCTCTGTGGCCTTGGGCTGGGCACTTATGAACATCTTGCATCCAGAAGCAAGGCCATCTGTAACTTGACCATGGCCCTGCAAGAGGCCCAGACCTCAGCCCCTATGGTGGCAAAGGCTTTCAGGTACTGAGAGGTCCTGGAGGTGAGGGAGGGGTTGCTGGAAGGAAGCTGTAGGAGGATGAGAGAGCACCTGAGGAGGCATGATGCTGGCAGCTGGGAGTGGAGTGAGGCTCCCTGGGTTTCCCTATGAAAGATAAATCCACGGCCCCCCATCCATCACCCCAGTCCCTCAGTAAGGGAGTGCAGGGGGAGAGGTATATGGATCCATCCGTTAGGATATAAATTAGAATCCTAGAATTTAGGAGTCAGTGTGGAGGTCTGGCAAGGCCAAGGGGGTATGAGAAAGAGATGCCCTTTGCCTTCTTGCCTTGGGCTCCATCATGGCCGCACAGTCTTTCTCCCTCTCCACGTGGGAACCATGTCTGCTCCCCTCAGCCTGGGGTCCTGTGTGGGCCCTGAGGACAGACTCTTCACATCCAGGCAGACATGGTGGGCCTGTACTCCTCTGGTTCCCAGGGCCTCAGTCACGTCTTCTGGGCTCCACTCTCAGGTAAAAGATGCGGAAGTCACTGCATGGAGAGGAAGGGGCGGGATGTTTCCCTTGGTATTTTTCCCACATTTTTTTTCTGGAAGACTGTCTTATGAGAAGTTGCTATCTCCACTTTTAGGCCCGCTCTACATCGCTGCAGAACCTGAGTCTATGTGGCCATTTTAATTTTGAAATGAGCCTTCTGTTACCACTAGGAAAAGCCATGTCGCTAGGCAGTTGTCGAAAGTTAGGGCTGCTGAGTCCAGGAGGCCAGGTGACTTTCCCAGGAGAGTCCCCTGACTGGCAAGCGGCTGACCGGCCACCTCAGTGCTTTTGCAGTTGTGCTAGGGGCCAGGGATGCAAGCACTCCATCAGTCTGAGTTTGATTCTGTTCACAAAATTGTCCTGAACACCTACTGCATGCATGGAGTTCTAAAGATAAATTAGCTCAAGGGTGGTGTGCATGTGAAAAGCCAGTGTTGATTGTAAGACTAGAATTATTGGGAGGGGGGCGGGCTGTGCTCCCCAACTTTCACCTTGGGCCTATTTATTGCAGTCAGAGAAATGATGGATTTAAAAAAAAATTATTTATTTATACAAGAGCTGGGGTACAGGCCAGAGATACAGGGGTGAGAGGATCTACCAGAGACAGAGTGGGGAACAGAACAGGCAGACTGACTGAAATACACTGCTGAGGGGAGTAGCGGGCGAGCCAGGAGAGGTCTGCTGTGCCAGGTGGGTTGCGACCGGGGATTGAACTCATGCTGCAGAGGTTGTGGATTGCTTCATAGTGTGGTGCTTAACCCCTTGCGCCACCAGGGCTGCCCAAAATGATGGATTTTTAAACTGAGAAACTGCTGCCCAAGGCCCTGCAACCGGGGAACTCAGATGTTACATCAGATGTTACCATACATGGGGACCTTGTAGGTCATGTAGTCCAACCCATTTTACAGATGCAGAAGCTATGACCCAGGGAACTTGTGACTTTTCTATAAAAAGCCCATCAGACTTGGCAGGGTCACCTTTTGCCTCTAATTTGCATTCCTTAACACACTATCCTGAGGGGCTCTGGATGCAAAGATAGTGCGTGGAAATGAAAAAAATTGAATTGCATTGGGCAACTCATTTCAGTTATGTACAAACTCAGCATGGAGAACAAGACGCATAAGACAGATTTGATCTGCCACTTGGTCAGGGGAAATGTAAGGCACTAAAACCACAGACTTCTTCCCTTCCCAATTTCTTCCAGTTTTCTTCTCTGATTGCTGCTCATCCACCATCTTAGTCACCCACCCAGCGCTTACACAGACTCCCCCCTCCTTGTTCTGCAACTGTGGTGACAGTTCAGGACCAAGCGGGCTCTGGGTCGGGATATTCCAGTAGCCAGCTCCAGGGAACAGGTCCTCTCCCACCTGCAGGCAGGGAGGCCTTGAGAAGTTAATGAGGGGGTGGACAAGGGCAGCTTTCAAGGAACAAATACCCTTCCAGCTCTGAAATAGATGCATTGACCTCCCATACCCTTCCAGCTGGGACATTTTTTCATTGCTCCTTCTCAACATTCCCCAAGTGACAGCTTTTATCTCGTGGGTGATGCTGTCAGAGCAGACTAATGCACAGTGCTTCCCCCTTTCAGGTTATCTCTTTCTAGTGTAGCCCAGAGCAGTGAGAGACATTTTTAGAGATGGTTCAAATTCAGCCACTATTTATTGAGTGCTTGTTGTGTTGCAGCTGCTGTGGGGGGCACCGTCAAGCACAGCATGGCATGGTGGGAGAGACGACTGGCTCCAGGGCCAGACCACCCGGCTGTGTACCTGGACCTCGCCACTTACTAGCTGTGTGACCTTCGGTAAGTTATTCAACCTACCTAGGTCTGTCTTTTTTTTTTGTGTGTGGGACCCTCGCTGGTGGCCGGGGATCGAACTGGCGCTGCAGAGGCTGCGGGCAGCCTGGCAACCCAGCGCTCAACCGCTGTGCCAGCAGGGGAGGCCCCCTAGGTCTGTCTTATTGATTGCAAAATGTGAATAACATGCACTTCCTAGGGTTGTAAGGATTGGAATGCGTTAATCTAAAAAATAATAATAAAAATACTACCCCCCCCAACCTGTAAAGTTGACCTCACAGTGAAAGGTAATAAAACTAGATTTCTCTTACTGTTTTTTTTTTTTAAATATTTATTTATACATACAAGAACTGGGGTACAGGCCAGAGGTGTGTGTGGGGGCGGGGGTGAGAGGATTCACCAGAGACAGTATGGGAAACAGAACAGACGGATCTACTGAAATACACTGCTAAGGGGAGCAGCAGGTAAAACAGGAGAGGTCTGCTGTGCCATGTGGGTAGCTCCCTGGCGGGGATTGAACTTGTGATGGATGCAGTGGCTGTGGATAGCTTCATAGTGCTACAACTTAGCCCCTTGCGCCATCAGGGAAGCACCAAAACTAGATTTCTCTTTAAAAAAAGAAAGTACCCCCAAACAGATAAATGGATCAAGAAGATGTAGTGTATATTCACAATAGAATACTATTCGGCAATTAAAAAAGATAAACTCATGCTATTTGCAGCAACATGGATGAAGCTAGAAGGCATTATGCTCAGTGCAATAAGTCAGAAGGAAAAAGAAAAACATCAAAAAAAAAAAAAAAAAAGGAAAGCATCAGGCGGTTTCACTTATAGGAGGAATACAGGGAAACCAAACAAAGAGAGAGAGAGAGAGAGAGAGAGAGAGAGAGAGAGAGAGAACAGGTAAACTACAGATATAAGGCATGGGTGGGGGAGAGGGAAGGGCATCAAAACAGGGGAGAGAAGCACAAGGGACCACAGTGACGGTTCATGGGGGATGCAGTGGTGGAAGATTTATGGGGACTGCACGTGAGGGGAGAAAGCAAATACTGCACAAAAATGAACAATACAAGAAAAAAATATTAATCTACCGCGAGTGCTTAGAACAGGGCCTAGCATGTGGAAAGCGTATCGTGTTGTCGTTAACAAACCTCACCGGATCCTCCAAACACAGTGGTGAAGTTGCGATTATTCCCTTCATTTTACAGATGCCTTTATGAGGAAACTGAAGTCCAGAAGAGTCACAGATAATAATTCCCAGGCGGGGGACAGGAGACCCAATCTTGTGCTCCTACCCTCCAACAGCTCCTGCCATTCTGAGGAGCCAAGAAATCAGGACATTTACATGAGCAACTTTGAGAGTGGGAATCTAGAAGCTCAGTAGGACCCTGGGAAAGTGAGACAGAGGCTTTGGGATTCAGCCTACCAGTCCTTGACAGGGGAGAAGGGTGTGGAAAAGAGGAAAGGAAATGGAGAAGGAGCCGGAGACCACTCGGAAGGTGGAATGCTGAGGCGGTGAGGCTCCTGCCTCTGTCTGTCTTCCCAGTCACCAAGGTGGGACCCCGAGGAACTACCACCTGCCGGATAGGAGAGATGCATCCCTGAGCCCTCAGTGACTGGCCTGACACTCAGCACCTACAGCCCAGCCGAGAGGCCTGGTGCCAAGAGTCTGCACTAGCGGCTCCGGCGGGAGTTGCTTCCCTACCTCCTTCCACCCCCAAACTGGGAAGCCTGGGCCTGGGCTTGCCATCCCAGGGTCACCGGACTAGGATGGGGGATGGGCTTGTGATAGGAGGTGCCCTGGGTGTCCTCTTTCGGCCCCATGGAGTCCTCTCCCATCCCCCAGTCATCCGGGAACTCTTCTACTTTGGGGAGGGCCCCTCAAACCCCAGGTCCTTCTACTGCCAGCGGGGTCCCCGAAGTGGGGCTACGGGACGTGGCTTCCGAATCTGTGGCCCTCTTCTTCATGCTCCTGCTGGACTTGACCGCGGTGGCCGGCAACGCTGCCGTGATGGCTGTTATCGCCAAGACACCCGCCCTCCGAAAATTTGTCTTCGTCTTCCACCTCTGCCTGGTGGACCTGCTGGCTGCCCTGACCCTCATGCCCCTGGCCATGCTCTCCAGCTCTGCCCTCTTTGACCATGACCTCTTTGGGGAGGTCGCCTGCCGCCTCTACTTGTTCCTGAGCATATGCTTTGTCAGCCTGGCCATTCTCTCGGTGTCGGCCATCAATGTGGAGCGCTACTACTACGTGGTCCACCCCATGCGCTATGAGGTGCGCATGACCCTGGGGCTGGTGGCCTCTGTGCTGGTGGGTGTGTGGGTGAAGGCCTTGGCGATGGCTTCTGTGCCGGTGTTGGGAAGGGTCTCCTGGGAGGAGGGAGCTCCCAGCATCCCCCCAGGCTGCTCACTCCAATGGAGCCACAGTGCCTACTGCCAGCTGTTCGTGGTGGTCTTTGCTGTCCTTTACTTCCTGTTGCCCTTGCTCCTCATCCTTGTGGTCTACTGCAGCATGTTCCGAGTGGCCCGCGTGGCTGCCATGCAGCACGGGCCGCTGCCCACGTGGATGGAGACGCCCCGACAACGCTCCGAGTCTCTCAGCAGTCGCTCAACTATGGTCACCAGCTCGGGGGCCCCCCAGACCACCCCACATCGGACGTTTGGTGGAGGGAAGGCGGCAGTGGTCCTCCTGGCAGTGGGGGGACAGTTCCTGCTCTGCTGGCTGCCCTACTTTTCTTTCCACCTCTACGTTGCCCTGAGTGCTCAACCCATCTCGACCGGGCAGGTGGAGAGCGTGGTGACCTGGATAGGCTACTTCTGCTTCACTTCCAACCCTTTCTTCTACGGCTGTCTTAACCGGCAGATCCGCGGGGAGCTCAGCAAGCAGTTTGTCTGCTTCTTCAAGTCAGCTCCAGAGGAGGAGCTGAGGCTACCCAGCAGGGAGGGCTCCATTGAGGAGAATTTCCTGCAGTTCCTCCAGGGGACAGGCTGTCCCACTGAGTCCTGGGGTGCGCGACCTCTACCCAGCCCCAAGCAGGAGCCGCCTGCTGTTGACTTTCGAATTCCAGGCCAGATAGCTGAGGAGACCTCTGAGTTTCTAGAGCAGCAACTCACCAGCGACATGATCATGTCGGACAGCTACCTCCGTCCTGCCCCCTCACCTCGACTGGAATCATGATGGGCTGCTGGACACCTGGAGGGAGATGGGGCTGGGGGCCAGTTATGACTGCAAGGACCACCTTGAAGGATCATCTTTTCTCAGCTACCTGGGGCTGGGGCTGGGGTCTCTGCACACAGCTTTTGCTTAGTGTTTCTGGATCAGGAACAGAGCCAACAGGATGGATGTGTGGCAAAAGCCTTGGACTCGGCTGTGATTCTTGACTATGATGGGAGGCGACCTGGTGAGATGGTGACGAGAGTAAAGGGTCACAAAGGTGAGATGATGCGTCTCAACCCATGAACTTCTCATGTCTCAGGAAGCAGGGAAACTCTAAGGGTAGGAGCTGGAGGATACAGAGCAGCAGGCCAGGTTTGCAGTTATTCTGGGGACCCTTCAGGAGACTTCATTTTTCAGTATAATTGTCCAGGGCAGTCATTGTGCCCAAGCAAGGTAAGATAACGACTTGTGTCTTCTCATTTCCTTGCTAGGTTTAAAAAGAGCTACATTACAGCTAACTGTTTTCTTTTCGTTAATACACCCTTCCCTGGTTTTAGACCTGAAGTTTCCTTCAAAGTGGTTATTTTCATTTCCTGATTTTGGCCAGAGGCAAGGGGAGTGGCAAGCAGGGGACACAGAGTAGAAGGCAGGGAAGCTGACTACAGCTCTCCCCACTTTCCAGAAACAGTCCTTCTGCTCTATTTTTCCCATGATCTCTCCAGAACATGGGAGATCAGCCTTGGGCTTGATCTCAGCAGAGGCAAGAAGGCAGGACAGTTCTTCCTCCTTTTCTTTTAGGATGAAGGGGTATACAGATTGGGGTTGGGTGGGTGAAAGGGAGGTTAGCATTTGACTTGCTAATGTGGCTGGCTACAGAGAGGCCAGGTAATCACCCTGATCAATAACACTGTGAATATTTTTTTTTCCTTAGGACTGGCCTCCCTGATCTCTCTCCTCATGGCAGTGACCCACCTCCAGCCCCCTGGACAATCGGGTACAAGAGACTAAGGTTGGGAATGGGAAGGGTGGGGTTTCCATGGTCCATTAAATGCCTCCCTACTTCCATTCATTGCTCTCAAAATTAGCTTCAGTGACGACTTAAATTTCTCTATCTGCAGCCCTGGGTTGGAGAGGGGCACGGGAGTTGGGCTCAGTTGTTCACTGATTGAAACTGTAGGAATTACGCCAGTTGGTATTGGTGGTGGTATTTTCAAGGTAGCGAAATAATTGCAAACTGGACAGGACATCCACCTGGGACTACCTGTCCATCCCACGTCCCTCAATGAATCAGCTAACATTTAAGGCTTGAGGTAGGACCGGCGGATGATGTGGTCTGTATTTGAAAAATTCCTGGTTTACTGAGTATCAAAGGGGAAGATGGGCTGGTGGGAGTGAGTTTCCCCTTTGAACAGCCAATAAATACTTTTTATTATAAAATCATACTGATATCAACTTTGACTCCTTCAGTACAATTCAGTGCTTACTAGCTGAATACTCAGAATTGTCCGGGAATCACAGAGGATGTATGATCACTGCCTTTGGGAATTCATAGTCTAATTTGATAAGATACCTTGTATTTTTATAGAGCATTTACCTCTGGTAAAGCTCTGTAGAATGTTTGAGAAATATACTGGAGAATATGTACATGGTTCTAACTCTGAGAGTTCAGTTCACTGCAGCAAAACACCACAACCCTACAGATTGTGGAAAGTGTGCAGCTTGTAAGTGAAACTCTAGTTGAAGAAAATAGCTTATTAAATGAACCTGGGCGATCAGCTTTTTCCCTTTAAATCTAGGAAAATTTCCAGGTTTCTGTCTTCCTATCATTAGATTTACTTTAGTATAGTACCTATTACATTGAGAAAATCCCTTAGGTAGTATATGAACCAAGGAGTGTCTTTTGTGATTAAAGACGTGTTCCTTCTCCCCTTCCTCTAAGATCACAAAGGAGGAATCTCATTCCTAGACAGGGGAAAACTTCCAATCACTGATCAGCTAGTAGGCCCTTCGCATTGCCAGCAGGTGGCAGTGTGAGTCCAGCGGAAACACACGGTAAGGCGGGAGGGAAAGGAGAGGGCATTAAACATTGTTTGGCAGCCATTTTATTAATTTATCTTGCCTTTCCCTTTGCCCTCCGACCCTTCCTTCAAATACATCAGAGAAGAAAGCTTTAAGAGTAAGGATATATGTAATTCAAGCTGTAATACGGCTATCCTGTAATGCGGGATCTGTCATTTCTGACACTATGATCTCACTGGCGTTTATTACAGAATTTGACATTCGCTGGTTCATCTGCCATTTATTTTTCCCTAAGTGGATCGATTGTGAAGGAAATAAAAATTTCTCTTCTACTGTGCTGAGAACTTTTCCAACAATTTCTGCTATGGTCACCTTCTACGAGTTTTCTAGTTCCTAGGATTGCTTGGTAAAAGTTCTTATGTAATCCTTAGCTCTGAAAGCTTTGTGGACAAAACATCACCTCTTTAACCCACTGAAAACCAACAGGTTGAGGCAATTGTTGTTTCCTGCACCCTGGAGTAACTCCCAATACCAAATGAAAACCTTCTGTTGGCTCTCCCCCTGAAAAATGTTATAGTGGCAGTGTAGAAAAGGGTGAATTGGAGTTAGATATATGAACTGTGGGAGCTTGAGAAAGATGTTTAATTTCTCTGAGCCTATTTCCTCATCTGTACAAATGGGGATAACATTACCTACCTCACGGGGTTGTTGTAAGGCTTAGGAGAGAACACATGGAAGCACTGGCCATTCCGGGCCAATAAGTGGGCACTTAATAAATAAATACTGCTTTTACTTCCCTCTCCTCTTGCCCTTTCTCCCCATTAAGTATCGATTATGGAAAAGCAGTCCCTTTTATTCTAAGTCATTTGGAATTGAGGGGGAGACTTCAATTTCTGAAGAATTGGCACTTTAAAAGTAGTGGTGTATAAGGTTTAGTTGCTCTCAAGAAATCCCTCTAATTAATGAATCATCACTACATAGACATTTCCATTTTATAAAGATCAGATTCTATTAGGAAAATAACTTATAATTACAAGGTTGTAGGGGCTACACTGTTCTCCTTCCTATAATATACGGTGAAAGTATTTGTGCGGTAATTAAGCAGCAAAGGTAATTTAGGATCACCTTCACAGTAGTATCCAGAATTATGAGTAAAAAGTCTGGGTTTTTCATAGGGGACATATTTTCAGGGATGGGCTAGTTCAGAGACAAATTTTACTAAAACTTCCTCTTTTTTTTTTGTTACCACAACAGGAAATTTTTAGGAGAGTCACAGGATGCATTGGTTTCTTTTGGGGTATGGCGCTGAGGTTGACCAATCTTGGTAAAATTCCTATGTCCCTAACGCAGGGTCATCTGTTTGCGCTAAAACTGGCTTATTTTGTAGAAAGGCCGCATGGAAACTTTCTGGAGGAACTACATGCTTACCTTCAGGAAACAGAGTATCTACTGGTTTTTTCGAGTCCCTCTGCCAACACAGAAATAGGGCACCTCTCAAGTCCACAGAAATTCGTATTTGATGGCACAAGGACTAGGGTGCATTTTTCAAGTAGTGCTGGTGGGCCAAGGAGAGGGCAGAAAGGATAAAGTCCTAGGCATGGTCGTTCTTACAGATCTCGGATGTGAGGCGTGGTCAGGATCAGGTTCTGCGGTTTGTTCCCATTCCGTAGATCTGATTGACACGATTCTGAAAGAGAAAGTGTCCAGCACGTGGGGTTGGGGCCCCGGATCTGCGCGGCCAGCGACCAGAGGGGCTTTCTGGCTACTGACAAATTCCCAGATGAAATTACTAAGCGGGCAGAGCGCTCTTATCTGGGAATCCCCAACCCCATCCAGACCCGGCTGGATGACCTCGCGGGTGCAGGACGCCACGAACTGCACAAAGTCCAGTCCCCACTGTTCCTACATTTACCCAAACAAGGCGGCCCCAAAGCTGAAAGGGAACTCAGGGCGAGTGGCGCACTGCGAGCTCCACGGACCCTCTCTGCTCTGCGACCACCGCCCAGGCTCCCCCAGCTCCCCGGGCACTTCCGCTTCCGGCGGCGCCAATTCCCCGTCGGACAGGTCCGAGCCGCGCCCGCCGCGAGGCGTTGCCGGAAGTGGCGCAGACACCGGATATCCGGGTCCTCCTCGAGCGGAGGTAGAGGGCCGCCGCCCAGCGCCAGACGCGGTTCCAGCCAGTCCCGCCGCAGTCGCCGCGGTGTGTGAGTGAGTCCGGACTCGGGCCCCTCTCTCGCCGCCGCCATGGGCTGCACGTTGAGCGCCGAGGACAAGGCGGCGGTGGAGCGGAGCAAGATGATCGACCGCAACTTGCGGGAGGACGGGGAGAAAGCGGCCAAAGAAGTGAAGCTGCTGCTGCTTGGTGAGGGGCCGGGGCGGGGTTGGGGGGTGCTGGGGAGGGCCTGGGCCCTCGGGGAGCCCCGAGCTGGGTGTGTGGGGGGGCCCGTTCTCGCTGGCGGAAGGGACCCCGAAAGGATCTGGAGGGCGTGACGGGTTTGGGCGGGGGTTGGCTTGGTCGCTGGGGCCTTGGAGATTGTAATGAGGGGGTGGGGTTTGGAGCTGTAGGAATTAGACTGGGGAGGGTGTGTCTGCTGGGGTTGTGTGTGGCAATGAGGGCTTGGGAGTGTTGGGGCAGTCGTAGGACGTGGAGACTGTGTTGAGAATTACATGGCAAGCTCATAAAGGAAGAGCTGATGTGAGGGACGGTTTCGCGAGGGTTGGAATGTGGTAGCAGAGAGGACGCGATAGCGTGTTTTGGGCTTTTATGATGGTTTGTGAGTGTGGAGCGTGGTGAGACTCTCCTGGCCGGGTAGAGCTGCGAGGCTTCCGTGATTACTGTAGGGAGAAGGGCTGGGACAGAGTGGCCACACAAGGACCCTATCATTTGTTAGAGAGTGGACATTTTGAGGCGTTGGTAAAGTGAAGGAACCCTGTATTATCCAGGACGTGAAGGGTGGATGATTGGGATGAATGACGCCTCTGGAAGAGACCCTGGGTGCAGAGGCTGGTTGGACTTGTTCACCTTTTTCTAACATTTTTATTCTCTTAAGACTTTCTGTCTCCTCCCCTTGTTTTTATAAAGGGGGAGACACTGTGCGCTGAAGAAATGTAAGGAATGGTTGGTTTGAGGTTTGTGGTGAAAGAGTTAGTGGGCATTATTTTGGGAGTTACTGAAAAGTTGCTCGAGATGATTGCAATGGGAACCGAGTTGCCTTAGGATCAGTTACGAAACTGGATATCTTTACTGTTAAGGCTGTGTCAGACTTCTGGTGAGCTATTTTATCTCTTTCAGTTTCTTCAAACTTAAACTATTGACCTACAGGAATTACTGTTTATGTCACCTGACATTCTTTTTGTGCAGATGCATTTTTCATCATTACCTTTAAAGTTTTTGAGAGACCAGACACCGGCTTGTAGAAGCTCAGTAAATCACGAAGTACCCTGGCATTAGCTTACCAATAAGTCAAGCTATAGATTTTCAGGTTAGTATCTTTTCAGGTCCTGCTAGAGAAGAATAAGTAGGCTAATGAATATGCACTTTTTTTAGTAGAAGTATACTTTTTTTTTTTTTTTTTATAGAGGCATGTTATTTATTTATTTATTTGTTTGTTTGTTTACACATGCACTGGGCACAGTCAGAAGCACGGGAGGGTGAGAGAATTCACCAGAGCCAGAGCAGGGAGCAGAGCAGGCAGAAGGACCGAAGTACACTGCTGAGGGGAGCAGCAGGCGGCAGGAGAGGTCTGCGCGCCATGTGGAACCCTCCTCTGGTGGCCGGGGAGCAGCCGGGGATTGAACCGGCGCTGCAGAACCTGCGGGCAGCTTCGCAACCCAGCGCTCAACCGCCGGGCCACCGGGGAGGCCCAGTAGAAGTATACTTTTTATGTATGCTTTTAATTTTATGTATTTTTTTAAAGATTTAAAAAAAATTATTTATACAAGAACTGGGGTACAGGTCAGAGGTGCTGGAGGGTGAGAGAATTCACTAGAGACAGAGTGGGGAGCAGAACAGGCTGATGGACCTACCTAAGACACTGCTGAGGGGAGCAGCGGGCGAGGCAGGAGAGGTCTGCCATGCCATGTGGGTTTTTCCCTGGCTGGCCGGGAATTGAACCCATGCTGCAGAGGCTGTGGAAAGCTTCACAGTGCAGCGCTCAACCTGCTGCGCCACCGGGGAGGCCCTATTTTATTTTTTTTTTAAGATTTATTTTTATTTATTTGTACATACAAGAGCTGGGGTGTAGGCCAGAGGTGCGGGCGGGGAGGGGGGGAGAATTCACCAGAGATAAAGTGGGGAGCAGAACAGGCAGTGAGATCCACTGCTGAGGGGAGCAGTGGGTGAGACTGGAGAGGTCTGCTGTGCCATATGGGTCAGCTCCCTGGCCTGGGATCGAACTTGTGCTGCAGTGGCTAGTGATCGTTTGATAGCCACGG